TGACGTGATTTCACGTGATCCAACCTGTTAGACTATAGGATAACGTAGTTCAATGCAGCACATGTTCGAGCAGAAACTTACAGGCCGTTGTGGTCAACTGCCTTGGCCCATGACGAAGAGCACCCGGCTCCAGCTAGGCATCGCGCAGGCCAAGATGAAGAGAGCAACGGAGATCGTGGTGCCTGATTTACGGTCGACATCGTCTGGGGCGTTGAGTTTAAGTCTAAGTATCAGGGCTTGGTGGACTTGTGCGGATGGCTTTGTTCTTGAGTTTGGAGTTCGAGCGTTCCTAAACATTTTCGGGTTCAAGGTTCCCGTTGTCTGTTTCTGGCCTTCGGGAGTCTCCGTCCGAAGTTGGGGGAACTTTCTCTTACAGGATTCTTGAGTTATCATCGTGTTGTAAAGGCTCAGATTATCAGCCGCACATGGGGCTAACTTGTGAATGCCACATTTCCAAAACTCGAAATTGCAAGCCTGCGACGCAGGATCTGGAAGGGCTAAGAGGGGCACAAAAACATGCTCCGTGCTGAGGCACCAAAAAGGCCAACCAGTAGGACCACTTTTCTCCCAAACCTTCGCTTTAAGAGGATTTGGGCTTGAGGCGGCTTTAGCTATGCAGGGGTGTACGAACCAGACTTTGAGATCTGCAGTCTACGAAACTCCATGCGTCGACACCATCTGTCAGTGAAAGTCTGTCTAACACTGCAAGGCCTGACTGAAGGCTCACAAGGCTTGCCTAACAAACCTACACTGAGTGTAACAGTGTAAAACAGGTGCCGGAAGTATTGTTGTGGGCTCTCGGGAAGTTGGCACAGCTCCATGATTCCACGTCTAGGAAGACTCGACGTGCAGGCGTTCATAAACTTAGCTCGGGTTGCTGAATCTTCCTTTCGCCTAAACTCTGAAGAGAAGCTGGCTTCAGTGTAAGGCACCAGCGGGATATTACAAGGACTTCTGGGGTGCTATGAGGGTATTGTAAGGGATGCTGTAACGGTATGAAACAGGGGTCTACGACGGACCGACACAAGAGGGATACCATAGGGATACTACGAGGGTACTTTTTGGGATGCTACGATGTCAGGGCTCGAGTTCAGGGCTGAGTAACAGGTCACAGGTTCCCGGTGGTTCTCAGCAAGGGCTACGGCCAAGGGTCGAACATGATCCTGCAAGGTGTAGTTAAGGACTTCACGAAACAGGACCATCATTTGGAACGGCAGCCATACGACTATCGCCACTTCCGATGCCGACCAGCCACACAGAGCCCAAGACGGCAACCATGAGGATGGAGATCAGCATTGCGAAGCTTTCCTGTGCCTGTGGAATGGGAAGACACTCTTGGGTCACGCAGGCTGCTATCACTCAGACAGCACTGGCACTCGTGTGTGCGTGTGTGTGTGTGCAATACTTGAGATGCTGCAGCTACATCGCCCCTGTTTGGGAAGGCCGCCAAATCAGGCAAAGACCCAGCGCAGCCTGCGGGTAGTCACCATGAGCTCTTAATGGATTCCGCACGACTCCAACGTCTCTGTTCGAATTGCCATTCAGCTTTTCCTTGTCTCAGATTCCGTATCATGCGATGTTGGAGTCTCTCGGGCATTAAAGCTTTAGAATGCTGGTTGTGCCTGCATAGCATGGGTTTCTGTTGCACCAAAACCCCGCTTTTGCATGGAACCTTGTTGAGTCGCACTGAGCTACTTTACCGGGAGGCGGGCGTTATTTGGGGTGGGAAGATGTGTTTTTTTGTTTGAAGTCTCTGGCTTTTCTTGTTCCGGTCACCAAGCCCAGACAGCCGGTCAACCCCAAAACTCTGAAACATAAAGGCTGCACTTTGCCTGCCCGCGCTGTGAGATGGAATATCCCACGCTGATGACTTCAAGCCGGTCGCCACACCTCAGGATCTCAACAAGAAGGTATGGTGAGATTTGTGTCGCAACCTGTCCAGCTCGCCAACCAAACATGAAGCGTTGGATTCTGGGTTTGGGGACCCGCATCAATCTTGGGCAAGATGCCACTGGGATCCCGTGTACACCTCCGACACAGGCTCTGTGCAGGACACCAAAGATCTCGCGAAGGCCACCTCCACCTGGGCTTAAAGCTTAGGCTTAAGGAAGGAGAGGTTTTCGGGGTTACTCGTCGGACCGCATGAGCGACGGCCTAAACTTGAAACTCGGATTATCACCGTGCTCAGCCCTTTCATGAAGCCCCTCAAAGCCTCTCCGTCAACTCATTGCCGACGTGCATGGGTTGCTCAACCAGCTTCCCAAGTTCCCCACCCCATAGCCCGAAACGAAGCTTCCGGGAAACTGGCCTGGCCTGTGAAGTTATTGCTTTTTCTTATGGTTATTTCTTATCTTCTTCTTCTTGCTGCGATTATCCCGGCCTGGCCCGGGATGAATCTTGGGTTCTTACGACTATTATTCTTGTTATTATTATATAATTATTGCTATTACGATTATTTCCAGGCCTGGTTCACCAAGTTCTAAACCCTAAACCCCCCACACCTGGAGCCGGGCCTGGCTCACCAAGTTTTATTATTATTGCTATTACTATTACTATTATTATCGCTTATATTTTTTAAAACTAGTATTAATATTGTTCTCCCGGCGCCTGGTTCACCAAGTTCTTCATTCCGTTGGCGAAGAAGAGCACGGCGAAGGCGGCCCAGTTGCTCCGAAGCTCCTCCGAGGCGGCTCAGCTGAAATCAGCAAAAACTCTCAGTAAGAGCATTAGCAATAATAAAACATAGTTGTAATACTATAAAATAGTTGTAGGAGTACAGGGAAACTGCTGCTACGTGCGCTGCTTGACGTTGCAAGCGCGCCCGTAATAAAAAAACATCGCAATAATAAACATAGTTGTAATACTAAGAATAACAATGATAGTCATCCTAATAATGAAATAGCTACGAGGTGCAGCTGATTTCATGAGAATATACGTAATAATGGTAGTAATTATAAGAACAATAGGAATATTAACAACAACAGTATCTCTCCGCATTCAATAACAACCATCGCAATAATACAAATAATTGTAATAATATGAATAGTAATGATAGTCATACTAATAGTAAAATCAGCTGCTCTGCTCTGAGGATTCTTGCGATCTTCTGGGTGGATCTAACCGGGAATCTTTGCCTTGGCATGAAAGCTTCTAGCAGAAGGATCCCTAAGTGCCAGAGCTCAAGAGGAAAGCCCCCCCCCCCGTCTCTCTTCTCATCGTGCCAGTGCCTCCACTTCGACCCAAACCCTCGCCCTCCCCCAGCCTCCACTTTTCATGCTTTCACACACCCCTTCGCCGACACGTCCCCTCCACATCGCCAGGCGAGCACGGATTTCAGAGCCCTTTAAGTGAGCGCGGTCCGCACCCTCCAACCCCGCTCCATCTGCAAACGGATCCACGGCCCCCTTTGCCAAAGGTCGTTGGGAGCGATTGAACACCAGTGCTCGAAGGGCCTGCGACTCTACGGCAGAATTATGAGCTGGTCTGGCCACACTGCAAGTTGAAAGATAAGATTTTCAATATCGGGGGTAGACATGAAGGACCGAAACCAAAGACCGCCTGCAAACTTGAGGACTGAGGCCTACGGAGCGCGCAACGGCTCCCCAAGCTCAGAAAGTTGAGGAGCTGGCTGAGGCCTTTCCTGAAACCCAAACCTCGCGCCACTGAAGCCCCAAGGCCCCAAACCCCTAACCTTTCGTAACCCAGCTTAACTCCAAGTACCCTTTGAACAGAACTCCAAATCCCGCCATCTGATGTCAGATGTCCTCAGCAAAGCCCATGGCTAGAGGCAGCTGCAGCTCCAACGGCTTGCCCACCAGGTGCCAAGGATTCTCAAGGTTTAGCTTTCGAGGTTTTAGTATTCGAGGATTCAAGGATATTCAAGGTTTTGCAACCTGTAAGCTTGAGAATTTAAGGCTTCCGGTCAGGGATGGCTGGGGTTTATGAGCGCACGGAAGCTCAGCACCGAATCACGAAACGGAGGCTCTGATCGACTAAAAAACCAGACAGGTCTCAGGATTGCAGCTTTGCTTTCTTGAGGTGTCAGGGTGCAGGAATCTGCAGATTTCGAGCCCAAAGCAAGCCAGAGAGACTGGGGCTGTCAGCGGGGTTCATTCTCAAGGCGGCTTTTGATGCTTTTTGGCCAGAGAAGGAAACAAAGCAACACGTGTCGAGTGCGGCCTGCATACACCAAAACGTCTCTTTTTCCGAGAGACAATAGCGCGGCCAGACGGGCCGTAAAGAGCCAGAGAAGCTTGGGAGCTAGTCCGGTTCTGAACTCGCCTCCCCACCTCCCCAGCGGGTGGGCCGGACAACTGAGAAGCTGCAGTGAATCCTGAAGTTGACTAAGATGCCTCCTCATCCCGTCCCGCTCTTTCTTTCAGTCCTGCAGGAGAGGACCGGCAGGGTGAAGGACACTAACTCTAGGGATCTTCAGATAGCACAGCGTCATGGCAGAAAGCTAACGTGGGCAGCACGGCTTGAACTGCCGAGGCACTTAGGGCCATTCGCTGTGCGCACTGGTGTGTCCTGGGCTAGGGTCGAGTTTCACAAAGGCTGGTCGCTGCGACTTCCTAGCTACGCTGTTCCGTGCAGTAGTGCGAACCCGATATCGAGATGCGGTATATGCCGTCAAGCCTCCACATCCTCGCCCTGCTGCGGGTCGTCCTCTTCCTCCTCTTGCTTTTCGGCATCGTCATTCGTGAACACGGCACGAATGTAGAGGTAAAGGAAATAGATGTAGGTGCCCGCCGTGAGCAAGAAGAGAAGGACGCAGGTGCCAACGTAGATGCTGTACGGTCGGTAAGGCCACTCTGCCAGCAAGGAAATGACCAGAACCAAGCTTGTACAGGAAACGCCAAGGACCTGCCCCTCCAAGCTGTTGAGGCGTCGACTGACATAGGGCCGGATGCTGCCATGGATGAGCTCGGCAAGGACCATGATCAACAGCAGATAGACCAAGTGCGCCTCGGGTGCCCAGGACATCGGGAACAAGGCTGCTATCACATAGATGGCAGATTTCCGGGCCAGCACGGTGACTTCCCACCAGCGATACCGGGGCTCGTAGCCCGCCACGAGAAAACTGACGGTCTGATCGCCGTCGATGCTTTTCTGCGCTGGGAAGTGGGCATGGCAAGCGACAGCCACAAGACGGGACCGATGACTGCAAGCAGCATTGTTGTCCCCACTAGAAGCCAAAATCTCGGGAGCACTATGGATTCGATCAACTTGGAAGCGCAATGCGTTTCGAACGCCGCCTCGTACATCAGGACTCGACGCCCGTCTTCGCGGGTGCTGAAGCAGGGTACGAGCGTAGCTGCAGCGCCCGTGAGCGGGGGAATGAAGACATTGCCCCAAACGACCAAGCAAAGTCGCCAAGAACGCAAACCGAACCAGCTCCAGGAAAGCCTCGGGATGATGGGCATCGCATCACACATCCGATGCTCACACCGTGCTTCGAGGAGAGCCAAAATCGGTCTTTACACTGTGACATGGGCGTACACAGAAGATACAGCACCCTGCAAGCAGCCGAGTGGCAACAGCAACATCGCTGGGATGGCCCACGAAAGGGTGATGCTGTAGAACACGTTCACGGAGCCGTCCACCAGGCCCCAACAGTCAAAGGACCTGACGCCAGACCTGGGTCGTGATGGCCCGTACAGTGTCCTACATTCCTGGACAGCCCAAATCCTCCAATCCTACACCTCCACACCCGCACAGGAGGTAGTCGGGGTGCTTTGTACTTTACATTCCAGAGGTGAGCAAAGGGAAACACTTCGCTTAGAAGAAGCACACCAACGCAGCTGGAGCACCCCGGCTCGGCATGCACTACGAAGTTCGCCGCAAAGAGAAACCCATAAAGCCATTGTGCGGAGGCAGAGATGTCTCTCCTCACAGCCCGGCAATACATGCAAAATGTAAAACACCCATGTCCACATCTAGGCAAAACCGATCAAATGGCTTTCTGTCTCAGTGTCACCACGCACACATGAGCCATACCTCAAGCCCGGGCACAGTAGCTGATGATAAAGCCGTGTGTGGCGCACAGCGGAAAGACTTCTGGCAGAAATCGTGACGAAGGAGAGGAGAACCTCAAGTGGAAGCTCTGGCAGGGACCCAGCGACAAGCAGCGCATGGTTCTCTACTTCATCCTCACACATTTTGACCTCTGGCCTGCCTTTTGTCAGCTATGCCCAGCCTGCCTTGACGATCTGCTGCGTGTGACTGCGCGGCTTTGCAGAGTTCAACGCCATGCCGTAGAAGATGAAGTTGGGGAGAGCGGCTATGCCCACCTGTCGGCCCAAGGACTGCCCGCCACAGTCCTGTCTGGAACACATGGAATTCGAAGGATTGCCAGAACGCAGAAACATGCAGAAACTTGGAACCTGAACATCGAAGTGACATCGAACATCTGCAGTGCATGACTTGCTACAGCAAGCCCTCGTGCCTGGCATGTGAAAGGGTCCAGCTGGGGCCGGCCATAGCCGGGGGCGCAGCACGTGCAGCCAGGGTTTGGCTCATAGCCTTTCGCGCAGAGTCGGCTGCGAGAGGACGTCCGGCCCTCCGCCGTAACGCTGAGGTGGCTCCCCGGACAAGCGGCCATGTTGGGGCATTTGTGGACCTCAACAGTCCTTTCTCCAGCCACATGCGAGATCATGTAGCCCGGAAGGGAACTTACACGGGAGGCGCCCTGGCACCAGAGCTTGTCGGCCAGGTGCGTGGCGACTTCTTCGCACGTCATGCACGCTTCATACGGATTAGGCGGTTCAAACATGTACTCCACGTCGCGGTCGAGGCCGATGGTCAGCAGAGGTGCATGTGCGGGGACGAGCATGCCATTCTTGTCCATCTCAAAGAGTTGCGACCTCTCGGGGTGATCCCACCAAACCTTTTGCCCCGGCTCCAAGAGTATCGGCCCAACACCTGCGAAAAATTGGTTTTTTGGCACGGCTAACTTCTCTCCTCCGTCGGTTTGCACACTGCCATTATCGAAGGTAAATACTCGCTTGCTCTGATAGCTGAGCTCCAAGGGCAACTCCTTGTAGGTAGTGCTGTGCTGCTGAGTTGATTTTGTAATGCCCAAGCAATCAGAGTCATTCAAGCATGCATCGTCTCCGGACTTTGCAGCCTTCGTGATGAGCGGGATGCCGACAGCTTTCAGCGAATTCGGAGAGGAGTGCCGCACCAGCACAAGCTTCATGCCAGCCTCCGGCTTTATCTTCCCTTCAAGTCTTACGGAAGCAGGTGCCAGCGAGACACTGCCGTCAACGCATATTTTGCACGTGCCGGGTATGGGACTGCCGTCTGTTCCGATGTAGAACCTTGAGCCGGCCGGGCAGTTCCACTTGTCCCCCTTGACCTGAGATAGGACTGACAAGTAGGTGGCAAACACATCGCTCGGAAGGACTGTCCCATCAGGCGGAAACCTTGCAACACTTGCAAACATGCGATAGCCGTCCATACCAGCAAAGACAACGTGAGCTGCCATGCCAATGTTGATGATGCCCCAATGTTGATGATGCCGTACCGGGACGACACCGCATGTCCTGATTCAGTCTCAGCGAAACAGTCCGAAAAGCGGACACGGCCACTCGTAATGTTGACCTCCTTGGCAGCAGCAACAGCACCTCCGCCGAGTAGCGTCATATTGGACCGTCGTCCACCCTCAGTGCTGCATTGAATGAAGTCCACTGAACCTTTGCCTTCGAGATCAATCACCACAGCCATATCGCTGCCCACTGCACCAGCGACCAACTCTGAGTGGCACTTCTCGAAAAGGAACTTGCCGTGGCCTCTCAACTCCACATTGCCTCGACTGGAGACTGCGCCACCGTTGAAGCCCGACATGCAACCGTGGAAACGATACAGGTGGTCCGCGTTGCCAGCGTCCAAGACTACACCTGTGCCACCATACATGGCAGCCCCTGAACACAGTTCTGGAAGTCCAGATGGGCCACAGTGCTGCGGATGAACTGCACAGTGCTCATTGCAGCGCCGGCGCGAGAGCTGTGTATATCTTTGAAAATCATCTTGCCAAGGCCTTCCAGGAAGATGTCGCCCCTGGCTCGGAGAGCAGCCCCCCAGACCGAAGATGTAAGACGCCTGAACTGCAGGGCCGTGTCCTGCGGCGCCACAACTCGGAGGTTCCCGGTAGAGTGAATACCCGAAACATTTCCGAGGCTCTCCACCCCTGAGGCCATCGTCACACTGAGGGGCCCAAGGATCGTCACATTTTCCTTGTTCTTGAAGAAAATGCCACTGGAGAGAAGGAGCTGAGTCCCGGGAGCTCCCTGCAACGTATGGCACCGTGCCTCGATGGGGTGGAGGCCCACCTGTGCATGTGGAGCTTGAGCTAAAGGCTCTAAGTCCTGTTCGTCTCATACGGCATGGCGAAATGCTTATGTTGACGCACACGCAGGTTGTTCGTCTAGACTGGTGTGTGTGTGTGTGATCCCGTTCCCTCACACAGCTGCGAGCAGTCGCCTGCGTGTCGTAGGTCACCCCGGGCTCGAGTAAGATTACCCCGTCGTCTTCACACGACTTTGGAAAAATGCGCGAGTCTGGCCAGATGTCCGCACCTGCGGCCAAGTGGGGAACAGCCTGCTTGTGTTGCGTTGGTGTGGTGGTAGGAATCACCCAGAGCACTGGCCAAATGCCAAAATCAACCACTCCAGAACTGAAGCCAGCCTCGGAATCTTCACCCTCTGAATCCACCGGAATTTGAAGTGTTGACACTGATCTTCCAAAATGCTGCACCAAGACTTCACATGCTTCCCCCCACCTGCAAGTGTAAGGACATCATCCTGCCGTGCTGGTCTTGTTGCTGAAGCCCACCGAAAACCGATGCCTCGCATCACATGCTTCCGACTCATGAACCGCTGTGTCCGACCGGCCCCCCCGCAAAAAGCCAACGCTTTGCCTTAAACTTGCCAAGGCGCAAAATGCTAGGGCAAACAGCATGTTATTCTGAAACCGGCCGCAGCGAGGAAACTCATGAACACGTATGTACCGAAACCAAACCACTACTTCGTCTGCTGGGCATGTTGAGCCCAGGTCTGACCGTCGGCGGATGCAGGCTTCTCTGACATGGTCTCGGCCGGGAAAGCAGACTGCATTGCAAGACGTGGCTACAGGTGACAGGTGGCCCCAGGACCAGGGTGGAGCCTCTTCCTACCTTGTTTTTCTCACGCTCGCATCTGCAAACGGCACAGTAGTGCGCCGAGAGCTGCCATATTCGGGGACATGCTGTCTCAACTGTCACAACTCATGACCCACTTCTAAGAAGCTTCGCATGCACCTCAGTGATCAGCCTCACTCTCTGTGGCGTCCTTGTGCTCTTTCTCTCCTGAACACAATCGCGCAAATCTTTAGCTCTCAATGCCGCAAGGTTCTCTTCTGAAGCCATAAACCTGGAGCAATAAATCGTCAACCCGGAACAGGGCAGCTTCCATGAGTAGCCTGAGCGTAGCACAAGCTATAGGGCATTGCAGGAAGCATGCACGGTCCTGATGTCTCGGGCTTCGCGTCAGCTTTGGATTCCGAAGGCTTCTCCTCGCTTTCCTTGTCCTTGTCCTCAGGACGCGGGACACCCTCGAGTCCGTACGTACAGACATATGCAGATACGCATACACATAGAAGGTTTAGAAGACCAGCCGTGAAGTTTAACCTCAACGACAACAATAGATTGACATGCTTTCCGGTTCGGAACCCCCCAAAAAACCTTTCTGTAGCACCCTCCCAGAACCCCAGGAGCCATAAACCCTTACCCCTGCACTGGGCCTTCTACTTAAAGGATCATGGGACTTAGTAACTAGGGTTAAAATTAGGGTAACTATACTTATATCCCCAATTCAGGTACTTATAACCTTACTTACTGAGTCCATGATCGATCCTCCAAGTAGGGACAACTCAGCAACAAGAAGCCAGGCAAAGCCTCGGAGGCCCCATCGGCGCCCTCGGCCGCGATGCGGGAGGCTTTGGCCACCTCCAGCAAGCGCGGGGCTTCTGGGAGGTTTTTGGAGTTTAGGGCGTTCGGGGCTTTTTTTGGGTGAGTTCGGGGGTTTATTGTTTCTGACTTTCGGCTGTTGGTCGGCAGTTTCTCCGCGGTTCAGGGTCTGACAAGGGCGGGGGGGTCAAGGGCCAAGTCTTCTTCTGCTTGGTGCTCTTGATGCTGCTGTTTCGGTAGCTGGTTCGTCCGGCTATGTTGCCGCTACCGCCGTATCTGATACTGGCTGTGGCTTCTTCAGCAGCAAACTTGAGAAGTTCTAAGAAAATGAGGGATCCTCTGAACACAGACCGCCCACTTGCAGGATTTTGTGTTTCGCGGGCCCTTCCTACAAGATGCCCCAAGGGCATGGAAGGCTTAAGCTCCCCACCCTAAACCCGAAATCCGTCGTGATCCTTGGGTGAAGGTCAGCAAGGAAACTGCAGAAGAACATCCTTCGCCAGATGCTTGTGTTGCGGCAACATGGACTCCACTCTTGCGGCGTCGCATCAATTAAGGGCATCCCGAGTTATCTCAGCAGCATCATCAGATCCAACGCCAAGGAGAATCCTAGAAAAGGGCGCAACTCTAAACCCTAAGCTCCAGAGCTCGCTATCCGGTGCACCCTTCACCAGCCGAAGTGCTGAAGGCAGCACTGAGTGCCCTGCCGCTCGCTTGGTGGCTGCATCTTCGGCCGCAGCCTGAAAGGGTTTGGGAAGTTTACAGTAGAAGCATGCTTTGCCGGCTTTCTGCTCCATTTCTTGCGGCGCACCCTGAGCTTTGAAGCTGCCGGCTGTTGCGGGGTGCAAAGACCGGAGAAGACGGAGATCCAAGATCGGTGCAAAAACGGTGTTGTTGCAATGTGCGAGCCTTCAGTTGAGATTCGCGTTCTTGGAAATCGGGCGAGGCTGTAAGCTAGTAGATACAAGCAAAGAAGGGAGCTCGCAAGAAGAGCAGATTTTGCACTGGACCCAAAACCGAAAGGACAGGAGCATGGCACATTTCGACCAAACACTATCTCCCAAGAGGCGCAGGGAGTGTACGACAACTCGAATGTGCAAAGCGCAACAACAAAAGAGGACAGGGGCAACGATTGAACCTGATGTTGTTTTGCGGATCTGCAAGCAACAAGCCAAAGCGGACTCCAAGACGCGAGGCTGTGGCAGCAGACCAAGTGTTCTCGGAACAGACATGGCTCCCAACACCAAGGACGAAAGCCCTCTGATATGTCCTCAAGTCTCCGCAAACGAGCAGAGGCCGTACTCCCCGTGCGGACAGCCCAGGAGCAGAAGAAGAGCAACCCGGATGACAGCGCCAGCAACAACAAGCTGATGATTGCAGCAGCAGTCCTCCTTACAACAAGTCACAATAACAATGAGAAACTAGCGACAACTAAAGCAAGAAAACCCCAAAGCTTGCAATCCTACACACCCAAGACCCTAAAAGCCCTACAGTAGAGGTGGAAATCCCAGAAGGTCCCGGAGTTAGAGTAGAGCCGGCAACCCCAAACAGCCCAGCACAAAGTTCTACGCCAAAGCCGCCTTTGCTTTCTTTTCCGCCTCCTCTTCCGCAGCCTCACGGGCCTCCTTCACAGCCTTCTCCTGGCGTTCGGTGGCTCCAGGCTTTGCAGAAAGCCCAGTGTACCCTTTTATAATTCAGGAACAGACAACACAAGAAGGACCCATAATTCTACCTTGTGAAATTCAGGAACGGACAGCACAAGAAGGAAGTGACAGTTTCGCGGAATAGTCCTTCACTGAGGGGCCTTGGGGAGCTGAAGCTTCACAAATCTCGCTCGCCCTCTTCTAACCCGACATCCTACACCCAGAAGCACCAAACCCTGAAGTCCTAAAAGCCCTCAGTCCTAAATTACTAAAACCCTAAACCCCAAAACCCTAAAACTCTGAAGGCCGCAACGCTGAAGCCCTAAAAGCCCTCAACCCCAAAACCAAAAAGAACCTGAAACCCAAAGCCCCAAAGCCGTGTAAACTCTGAAACACCCAAAGCCGCAAACACCGAAAAACCCCTACCATAGGGGCCCGTTACACGATAATTACCATAAGGAACCACCAAAAGAGTATAAGTAATTACTAAGGGCCCCTGTAAGTTACGGTTGATGATATAAATCCGGCATTTATTAAGGACCCTGAACTATGGGAGTTATGGTATATTACTTGTTATGGGTCATGCAGGATTTATATCATCAACCGTACCAGTCCATCGGGCCTTGGCCGCATCTTCTGCTGCTTTCTTTGCCTCTTGGAAGGCGTTTGCCTTGGCTTTCTCGTTAGCGTTCTCCTGGAGGAAAGGCAGGATCGAGGGTGTGTGGATGCTTGGGAGGTTTGGGTTGCAGAGTCTGGCGTTTGAGAGCTAAGTCCGGGATTAAAGACTCAGGGCTTAGCGGCCTTCTCCTGACAGGGTTGCCTAGGTAGGGCTTTGGCCAAAACGTTAATGCACGATTCCAAGCCATAAGCAAGACATCGCACGCCCATGTTGTAAGGATCCATAAATAAGGGAGCCCCATGTTCAAGAAACCATCATGTGCCAGTGAATCTAAAGCCACGTTCCTCCCCTAGAAGCACCTACATCCCAAGGTCCAAAACTCGAAAGCCACTCTACCCCAACTGCTAAAGCGCTCTGGTCCTGTGCTTCTTCCCTGGCTTTGACCATTGCCTTGCGCTTGAGACCGTCCCGGGCTTCCTTCTGCGCAATTTTGGTGGCCTCCTTGGTGGCCTGCGTTGGGGGGTTTGGGGTTTGCTGCTTGAGGCTTTGGGTTTCGTGGTTCAGTGCGAGCAATGAGTAGGCTATCTATCACTCGAATATCACTTTCCTAGTCCTTGCATCCTTGAAGTAGTCCTTGGATCCTTGAAGTATTCTTTGGTTTGAGATGGCCATCGCTTGCTTGATCATCTTTCCTTTCGCGAGCTGTTGACGGTCTCGGGAGTACAAGCGGCGCTATGCTTCAATTGGTACAATCGCTCTGTGCAGAGACCTTCTTGGCTATTCAATACTCATCGAGAACTATTCCACTCAAACCCTTGTAACAATTGTAGCAGCCCTTATAGTGACTGTACAATAGTAAGTCTTATGTAATGGCTGTTTTAGTGACTCTCTCTTTTGGGATCCTCAGGGTATCCGCTGTTGGTCACTGTCATCCGCCAGCTCTGGCTCCAGGGTGCGCCTCATCCTCGGCTGCTTTCTTGACCTGCGCATTCTGCCGTACCGGGAAGTTCACCGGGTTAGGGCTTGTGGGTCGAGGGTTTAAGTTTGTTGTCAAATGTGGGTTTAGGGTTGAGGGTTATGGTTAGGGCTTGAGGGTTTAGAATGTTCATCGGTCAAGCCCCCCTGACCCCAACGTGGTTCCCGGACTATGACGGGGCACACAACCGTCAAGCACAAAAGGGATCCGCTGGGAACCGTTCGGGGCCTCAGCGGTATGTAGACTTGGGTTTGGGGCTTCGGGTGTAGGCTCGAAATGCTTTCAGGAGTGAGCGCTTCCCCAAGCCAGCGATAATGATGATGCTCATCATGATCATGATAACCGCCGTCATAATCTCATAAACCGCGTGCCCAGGTCCCACTCAGCCAATGTAGACACTCAGCCAATGTAGACACACCTCACCGAACCCAAGTCGTAGACGTATACAGAGCTCCTTCAAGCCTTGATACAAAGCCCACGCAAGCACATCCTCATCAACTCCTAATCCTATTCGACTCTGAAATTTAAACTCGGGCCCACTGTGGGTGGGATCGCTTCCCGACCCATTAGCCCATTGGGGTCGGAGGGCTCCGGAAGTCTGTACAACATGTCAATACATCCATGTTGCATGACAGCGCGTCATCGCAGCAAACCCTGTAAAATATCACCCAACCCTAAGTCCTGCTCCCTAGACTCCTTGACTCTTGAAACACCGACAACTCCTTAAAGTCCCAAAAGCCTAATTCCCCCCAACCCCCCCCCCCTCCCCCCTCCGCTTGTTGGGTGGGGCCGGGGCCTCAGCATCGGCTTTCATCTGCGCCACCAAAGGTGCTCGGGCCTTGACCTCCGCTTAGCCGAGCAGTCTTCGACTCTTAGAGGTTTTGCTGGTTTTTTCAAACATAGGACTTTTATAGGTTTAGAACCTATGTGTGTGTATGGGGGCTTAGGGCTCCCTTGGGTTTAGGGTTTAGGGCTCGTTTAGGGGTCCGTGAATGTGATGCTCTTCTTGGTATGTGGGTGTGTGTGTGTGTATATATATATGTATATATATATATATATATATATATATATATATATGTAGGGCTTGGGGCTTTTCACTTTAGGTCGTTGGGTGCCTTGGCGTTTGGGTTTCGGGCTCCTTGGGGGGCTGACTCTGTCCGGGTGATTTAAGGCTCCGTGAATACGATGCTCTGCCACTGCTTGCGGAGCTGGAGAGTGCCAAGGTAGGTGAAGGCATGAAGTCACCTGAAGTTCTTCGCACAGCAGTCGCGGTTATCAAAGCAAGGCAGCCTTGGGATTCGTGGAAGGCTGTCAGGCGCTAAGTCGATGAAGGCACCGTGGATGGGACGAACCCAGGTGATGGTAGCATCGTTCATGAAGGATGTGTGGATCGAACTCAGCGAAACACACAAGAATGGCTCGCGTACGCTCACATCAAAGGCGGGAGGTGCGACTGCATACTGAAGGGACTAGTGTTGGACGACATGTCGGCGGTCGGGTGGTTTCGGCACTCGACTCAACACACTGTTGCCACAGATGTTGTGGTTGGTGGCTGTGAAGCTTCCCGGTTACGCATGATAGGGGATACGATTTGCAGTCCATTCTCGCCAGGTGTGAACGAGCATCCCGGCGCGAAATTGAAGACGGGACCGCCACCATCCTCTATGAGGTCGACTATAGTCGGAGGAGAGCATGCACTCTATGTCACGAAGGCGATGGGGGCCCAGAAATTGGGCTTCATGCTGGCCTACGATCCACCGACCAGGCTGAATGCTCTCGACGCGAGGGTGCTGTCCTATCTGAGCTACTCAAGCGAGAGGGGCTGATGTCTCACGAGATTCAAGAACTATCGGCTGGAGTCATGCTGCTCCAGGAGAAATTGACGAGGACATTCGCTGAACCGCCCAAGCCCTAGGGCCCTAGGGCCTACGGCTCTTGCCTGAGACCATCCGTGACCGGAAACCCAAACCCTAAAACCAAACTCCAAACCAGCACCTCTCATGCCTTCAACCCCAAAAATTGGGGCACATCGTCTTACAGTCGTACTTGTTCCCCCAAAGGGGCGATACTAGAAAGACTGAACACTACTGAATATCTACTGCCACCCACCTCTGAGTCTCTGCCCTGGCCCTGAGCTGCCGACCACCGCCTTAAAGTAATCCTTCAAGGGGAGTTTCCGAAAATGGGAGACCGTAATATGGTACCCTAAATCGTAGGATCCTTCACTATAGGGACCCCAACATCAGGCACCCCTAATCTTCGCAAACTCCCATAGAGTAACCTCCAGGGACCTCAGATTGTAATCCTGAAAGTAGTCCTTATGATTACGATAGCCCAAACAAGTACCCCCTTAAAGTAACCCACCCTACACCCCTAAACCCCTAGGCTCCTAAAGCTGCTTAACCCGCCTCCAATAAGCCCTCCTAAACCCAAAGTTGCCTTGTCCACTGCCTGAGCCATGGCTTCCTTCACTGCGGCCTCCTGGAAACATTTCGGGCTGGGCGAGGCGGTTTTCGGTTTAGGCTTCAGGGTTTAAGGCTCTCGGGTTTAGGGTATCAGGGTTGTAAGGCTTTAAGGGTTTATGCGTTTTTGGTTGAGCGACTTGGCCTCCTTGGTTCTGCGGTTCAGGTTTCGGGGGTTGTGACTTTTAGAGAAGCCTCTCAAGCATGCCTCAGTATAAAAACCAGGATCGCTGAACCCTGATACGGGAGTTGCCGAAAATAGGGGACCCTAATAAGGTACCCTAAAAATAGTAGGATGCGTAATTATAAGGGCCCCAAAACTAAGGTGCCCTAAACGGTAGGATCCTAGGTTCACCTGGGAGTTCTGCAGCGTTGCTACTCGCCTCGGAGGATCGGGTGCCTTGTTCCTCAGCAAGGCTGCATAACACTGATCATAACAGCAAAGGGCAGCAAGAGTAATGACAACAACCGTAATAATAGCAATCATAAGGATGTTAATGTATACAGTAAGGGAGTGCAACTTTAGGGTGACTTGTCTTACTAAGTCGCCCCTGTCCTCCAGGCTCACGCTCTTATCCCAACTCGCGACAGCCCCGAATACGAGTTGATATCGCTGCTGAACACAATCTTGAACCTTCCCTTGCATTTGGAAAGACATGATGCTTAACTAGTAAGAGACACGGCGACGATGACCATCGTGTTAAGAACGATAGCTGCAGCATTCGAGCTATAGCTTTGAGAGCAACGCGAACCATGAAACGATCACCGTGAGAGCAGGAATCACACCGGCGAACACATCATGAGGCGAGTCCCAAGACTACGAAACACATGCATGGATGGAGAAGGCAATAAGGACTTCTGACAAGATTGCTGCTCATGATGAGGATAAGGACGAAGACGGACATTCAGAATCAGCCTGATGATGATGCCGAGGAAGGATGCTACCCGAAACACTGCCCCGCCTGCAGCATCTTCTTGACTCCCACAGTGCTGTTCATGGCGTCTTCGAGCGCGATCTTCTCAAGCTTCGATCGGTGCTCCTGCCCCAACGGACAGCATGAAGGCTTCTGCATTCTGCAAGCCTTGAAGCTTGAACTTGGGTAAGGCACCACCAAACCCATGCCATCTTGTCTGACCATCCTTGCAGAGTGGGGCCCCCAGCCTTCAGAAGGTTAGAGTTAGAGTGGTCGAGGTGTATGGCTGCGCGGTCTTAGGAGTCAGTTTAGGGTTTCGGGTGGGTCCACACCCAATGTCAGAAAAGCAGAGTCTCTAGCCAAAGCCACCCTCAAAAACTCGGAGGCGAGAAGAAACAGCAACACTCACGACACACACACACACACACACACACACACACACACGAAAGCCAAGACCACTATAGAACTAGCAAGCGGGATCAACGAACAAGAATCACCTACAGCGATCCGAGTAGTAAGTAGTACCAGGCACACACAACGGTGACCGTGCTCACTTGATCATCATGCTCACCATTGAAAAACACAATCCTGAAGCCTAAACTAAACCCCGTACGGCCCGTACAGCATAAAGAGTGTACAGAATATAAACCCGATATTTTAGGAGAGCCTGAAAGCGGCCTCGGTGTACTTCGCCACCTGAGCCTCGATGTCGGCGTCGATCCGATCTTTCGCTGCCTTCGGTGTTTTTGGTTTCCAGATGGTGTATACGGGGTTGTAGAGGAGTTGGGTTTCGGGTTTAAGGGGGGGCGGGGTTTAGGGTTTACGTTCCAAGACGGGGTCCATAATGGTGTTGTCGAACTCACAAAGCTGCTCTATGTGATTTGCTACGTAAGGTTGCAAGCAGAATGACCCCCATTAGGAAACTACATATATATATATATATATACATATATCTCAAGGAACCATTACCAAGAGCCTCGGTTGGGAGTACAAACATCCACTTCCTCGTGCCAGGGCCGAAAGAGGTGCAGCTTGAGGCTTCCAAAGTTTGGGGTCAGGATTGGGGTGGTTGTCAGAATTATGGTCCCTTCTTGGGTACCCTAAATATTAGGTGCCGTATTATACTAAGGACCCAAAAAGGGACCCTAATTTTGACAGCCACCCATTGAAGGTTCAAGGTTCAGGGCTTACCTGTACCCTAAGGAACCTACCCTTTTTAGGGTTCCCTAACATGATTTCTTTTTTTATAAGTCCTTAAAAAGGTAGGTTATTTGGGGTTCAGGGCTTAGTGCTTAAGGTCTACATTTCAGCCTCGACCTGGAGTGGTCAAACCCCTGAAACCTCCGTCGAAACAACTGCCCCAAAGCCGAACAAAGAGCGTGCCGCACTCCTGACATAGTTTCGGCTCAGTCTCTTCACTAGCCTTTTCTAAGACTCAAACTTGTGCCCCTAAACCCTCTAACCCTAAATCCTAAACCCGAAACCTAAGCCTCCGAAACTAACCCTGAACCCTCTAACCCTAAAGTTGCGCTTCCCTTCGCAATCCAGGGCCAGCTTTCCTTGCCAAGTTGAATAACCCCGATTAGGATATATACATATACATATACATATACATATACATATACATATATATGGTCACCCCCCCCCCCATGACAGACCATCCCCTTCAAAACATCGCTCCCACCGGCGTGTTCGTGCTTTTTCCGGGGTATCGAGTTTGAGCCCTCCGGACGTATCTGTGGAACCACCAAAAGACTGAGACCCGTTGACAGACCATGCCCTTTCAACTCAGTCGTAGCGCATGGTCTGTGATCGGGGGGAGGTGGCACTCAGCTTTCAAAAACTCAATTCCAAAATTTACAAAATTTCCAAAATTCTCTCCCCTAACTTTCCGGATTTCCAAAATTTCCAAAATTTCCAAGAATTCCAAAATTTCCAAAATTCCCAAAAAGTCCGCCCTTATGTTTTGGAAAAATCCTGTCGGCTAGGTCGGGCCGTTTTGGAAATTTTGGAAATTTTGGAAATTTCGGAAATTTTGGAAATTTTGGAAATGTCGGAAATTTTGGAATTTTTGGAATTTTTGGAAATTTTGGAAATTTCGGAGATTTCGGAGATTTCGGAGATTTTGGAAATTTTGGAAATGTCGGAATTTTTGGAATTTTTGGAAATTTTGGAAATTTCGGAAATTTCGGAGATTTTAGAGATTTTGGAAATTTTGGAACTTCTGGAATTGATTTTCAATGGGCTGATTGTGACCCATCGGATGACAGACCATGCACTACGACTCACTTGCAAAGGCAAGGTCTGTTTAGACGATTGTCAGTGTTTATCTATTTTTCTAAATTGGTACTCCTACGAATACTATTGCCAATACTTATTCTGACATTGATCATTTGCTGACTGCCCAAGCTAATACCAGCATTAACACTAATATTTACACTTTTTTAAGCCAATACGAATAGGCACCATACAAATAACAAATACTAATAATGATTAATACTGACGTTCATACTCCTACGCATATCAATAATTATGCCCATATTGGTAGTAGTGTATTTTGATTCCAATACTAATACACACCTGCATATACCAATGTACATAAATATACATACCACTATATTAAAGTACAAATACATTAGCTCATGCATGCATTTATCTGTTAGTATTTTCATGTAATCAGGAGTAATACTAATATAAGACAAACGTTCATGCGAATACATAACCTCATTTTAATATTGGCACTCGCACTAGCACTATTACTATTACCAATCACACTGTTTATACCAACACCAAGATTTACATAAGTATTGATACTCCTACGGATACTACTGCGTATACTCTTATGCTGTTAACAGTAATGCTGTCACCAATACTAATACTGACATTGATAACTTTCTGAATATTCAAGATAATGCCAGTATTAATACCATTATTCACACTTATACTAAGGCTAATGCGACTATGGATAATCCTAATACGGATATTAACATTAATACTCCTACGAATACCAATAGTCATATTCATATTGATGTGAAGACTAATACCATTACAAAAGACACGTGCATATGCTAATGCACACCAGAACACATACCATTAACTTAAAATGCCGATATGTATCAATGCATTCATGTACTGATGTTTTAGGACAAGCATATACCCATATACCAATGTAACAATACACTACTTGTTAATGTGTGAATATACTATACTAGTATGCTATTATACTAGTATGCTACTATACTAGTATGCGACTACTGTAATATGCAAGTATACCGACGTGGCAGGTTAGTGTACTAATATGACAACATACTGATACACTTATAAATCTTTAGACAATACACGTATATTGCATATACGAGTATACTAATACACTAATGTACGAATATACTGGTATGTTAATATACTAATATATTAATACAGCAATATACTAGTTTACTCATGCATCAGTTGTACTAAAGTATTAAATCTACGAATATGCAAGTATACAAATATGTTGCCTCTCGAACACATCAATGTGTTGATATACTAACCTGCTGATATACGAAACTATCAGAATAGTAACATATCGAAACTAACTCTAATTTTGATACCAATACTAGCACCTCTGCCATTATTAACTGATATTAAACCCAGCATGAAGACTGATACTAATACTAGCAGTGGTACTATTACTGGCATTGACACTGGCACTAACACTAAGACTAAAACGAAGATGAGCACTAACATTAATGTATACTTACTACTGTCGATATATATACATATATATATATATATACTTACAGTAAACACTAATACTATTGCTGATACTAATACTAATACCAATATTAATACTCATACTCATCCTATATCAATGCTACCACAAACTCATAACTCACGTGTCGCGCATCTGGCCCATGCGTCCTCAGTACATGGCATGTTAAAAGTATACTTGGCATATGTACTGTAAAGGATTTGCTTTACAGATTGTCATCATGTGTGGTGTGTTTAGATGCAATATCTCAGCCTAGTCACCGAACGAGAGTACACTATCACAAGGGCATGGTCTGTCAACGGGGGGGGGTGAGCATATATATATATATATATCAAGGAACCATTAATTACCAAGAACCTCGCCTTCGTTGCCAAGTTGATGGCCGAGCTGGTTGCCTTCTCCTTGGCCTGGGCGTAAGCTTCTCGCTCTGCCTGGCAGCAGCATCTGGGAGTTTCCCAAAATAGGGGTCCCTAATGTAGTACCCTAAATAGTAGGATCCTTATTCTAAGGGCCCCAAAATGAAGTACCCCTCTCTGCCTGGCAGCATTCGGTATACTTACCTTTGGTACTCATTGGGGTTACTTTCAGGGAGACAATAAGGGCTCTATGATATAGGGGCTTTAATCATTAGAATAGGGTTTCCATTTTCTTACCTCTATAAGGGTACTATAATATAGGGGCCTTAGTAATCCTATAGCTTACCTTTGGTAGGGAATGGAAGAAAGATAGTAATAGTAGTTATAATTGTACCCCATTGCTCCGTTCCCGACTAACCAAAGGTAAGTACTTCATGGATAAAGCTCTAAGTGCGCAGACGCCTCAGCACAGTCAGCCTTTTCAATCTTGGGTAGTGAGGGTTTTGAAGCTAACGGATGTTGTCAGAGTTCAAACCCTCAAGGCTAGGATAAGGGCTCCCCGAAACAAGCCATGGGTCTTCGCAGACTTTCGAAGAACAATCCCAAGGAACCCCTCCGAAACCAAAGGGGGCGGGGCAGGCACCTTCTTGTAGACGGCCCGGGCAAATGGCACTCCCGACTGCCTTAAGCTGTCCTGGCTCAGCATCTGCTTGGCCTGGAGACCCGCACGGACGCCTAGGATTCTCTAAGAGCTCCTTATAAGAGTCCCACTGAAAGGCTCTACATGGGCTCTATACGGGTTTCGGGCTGTTTAGAAGGTTTCGGGTTTGGGGACTCAACAAGCAGGTCAGGAGCAGGGTCGTACTTAGATGCATGCATTGCACTCATCGCGACGATGTAGCGTGGACATTTTTGGCATGCGCAAGGACTGAACGTTGATGAGAGTGACGGCGCTTGTGCGACTGCGCGCTCGAAAAGTCAAAAGAGAGGGTGAAAGACAACAAGCGGCAGACTGCACATTTTCGAACCAGCACACCGTCCACAAATCCGCTCGTTACTCGTCCCAACTACACTGCTCATGAGTCATCGCGCGGAATCCCTCACAGCCCTCAAACCGAAAGTCCTTCTAACTCTGCGTGTGACGCCCATGCCCTTTTCCCAGCATCTTTCTGCCTGGCGGGCAGAGATGCACGCCTTTGTCTCCACGATAGCTTTGGCCGTGGCCGTGGCCTCTGCCATTTCAAAGCCACACACGTTCTGAAAGATCCTAGCAAGGGAACTAAGTGGATTCTATGCAGGGCTGCAAGTAGGACAACGAAACCAGCATACTACCAAAGCCCGCAGCAGATTCCGAAAGCGTCTTTCAAAAGCCCAATGATCCTTTCACTGCTGCCTTGAACTCCTTGGTCATGGTGCCGACGCCCTCGACTTCGACGGTCCGTTTCCTTGGCAACGAGCCCAAGATCCGAAGCCCGACTTCGAGGCCCAGGGGACTTAGTAAGTCAGGTTATAAGTTATAAGTACCTTACTTGGGGTTAGAAGTAGTTTTCAGTATAGTTACCCTACTTATAACCCTAGTTACTAAGTCCCGTGATCCTTTGAGTACTTGGAGGCCCAGGGGACTTAGTAACTCTACTTATCATAACCTACTAAGTCCCCCTGGGCCTCGAAGTAAACCCAAGCCCACCAAGGCCACAAAAAGCCCCGAATAAAGAGAACTCAAACTTTTCTCTATAGGGTTCGGGGTTGGCAGCTTAAAACCAAGGGCACGCCTAAGACCCACACTCGAGTCCTTGAGCCCCAGGGTCCTTCCCCTTCGCAACGTGTACCTTTCTCAGACAGGAACGACTACGATAAACTGCCTGTCTTGAGGCTGTTGCGTTCTTGGGTTTTGGTTTGGGGTGTCTGGGTCTTGGGTGTATGTTTTTCAATCGCGGCTTCGGATTTCGCATGACATGCGTTGAATGGATTCGACCAAAGCTTCGATCAAAGTTGAACGACGGTCGATTCGTGATCACATGGCCACCTGCGATGCTCTTGAAATCCGCCAGAATCGACAAGCCTGAAGCGTAGAACCCAATTCCAACCTTGCTCCCGCAAGACACACCTTCAAAGTCAGAGCCCCTAAACCACTAAAAGCCTCAACCCCCTCAAAACCATGCGCAACCTCAAACCCTAAACGCTAAACTCCCGATTTTAATATACTTTTCAGCATGTTTCTTCTTATCATTATTCTTATCATGACATAGCTACTATACATAGATTGAAACTGCTACTGCTTTTATCCTTGCTCCTAGTTCTGAATGTCGGAGGCCAAGAATCTTCGTGACCGTCGCTGTGTCCTGGAGGGTGGAGATTTGAAGTAAAGGCTACAAAAAAGAGGGCCAAAATAAAACAAAAAAAAAAAAAAAAAAAAATATATATATATATATATATATATATTTATAATAAACCCTAAACCCTAAACCCAAAAATACAAATAAGGGGCCAAACAACATTGGGTCCCCTTGTCCTGGATGTGCACCGTGGCGTTCCTTTCAGCCTCGGCCTCGGCTTTGCCTCAGAGCGATTTGGGAGTTTCCGAAAATTAGGGGGGCTACCTTGAAAGGGATCCTTTAAGGGATCCTTAAAGGGATCCTTAAAGGGATCTATAAGGGTTCTATAAAGGGTTTAGGGTTTAGAGTTTCCGAAAATTAGGGGGGTACCTTAGGGGTCCTTTAAAGGGTTACCATAAGGGTACGATAAGGGTTCCTTTAAAGGGAGCTGTAAAGGGTTTAAGGTTGGGGGCTACCTTGAAAGGGATCCTTTAAGGGATCCTTGAAGGGATCCATAAGGGTTCTATTAATAAAGGGTCTAGGGTTTAGAGTTTCCGAAAATTAGGGGGATACCTTATTTGGGGGTCCTTATAAGAAGGATCCTACTATAAAAATGTACTACAATAGGGTCCCCTATTTTCGGAAACCCCCATTTGTGACTCGGGAATCTGGAGTCTTAGGAAAGCTTTTGGAGCCCTTTGGGACTTTGGGGCTTGAGGGCGTTGGGGTTCAGGGGTAAGAGGTTTCCGAGCTTTTGCGATTTTTTTGCTGTTTTTTTGGTTCGAGGGTTTGTGAAATCGAAACAAACTCGAGGTGTAGGAATCTGAGTGTAGGATTTATTTTATTTTCGGGTTTGTAGGTCTGTCGTTGCGGGTTTAGCTGATTTTCGGAGGGATTCTCAGGCCTTACGTCAATCTGGTGTGGGCTTAAGCCCTTCAGGATTTACGGGCTGATTTTGGGGGGGTCTTGGGCGGGGCTCTTGGCTTGTGGTTTCTGACTTGTGAGGATCTAGGGCAGGGTCACCCTCAACCCCTGAGCCTCTAAGCCCAGACACTGCGAAACTTGAACTCCAAATCTTTCCGTAGCCCCTCTCTCTCCGTTGTGTCAAGCGAGGGGTCTCGGCAGGATTTCAGAAACGACCATAAAGGTGCTTTGAGCTACGAGAGTTTTTTGGGCACGCATTGGAAAGCCCTGAATCTCTGGTGCAAAAGCTTTCAAGGAATGAAACAAGGCGAGTTGCCGTGTCCCGTCTGCTTGAGCTTGACCGTTGCACCTACAAGGGCTGAGAGGGAAAAGGTGAGGAAACCCTTCGGGCTCTTCGTTCACAACCAGGCTCCAGGCCTGCGGTTTAACAGCATGCACCCTCTTTGCGTAAGGCCCTTTCAGCTCGCTTGAAATCGCAGCAAAGCAATTTCGGCCTGCTGCACCTTGCGCAGTGACGGTCCTGCTGCATTGGCAGGTATGCAGACGCGACGCCAGCAATGTCAAGACACAGCAACCGTGTGCTGATGTAAGATTCTATCGAATAAACCCCTTCCCTTGATGAGGATGTACTGACTAGACATGGGGTTCGCATATGACGGCACTGGAAGAAAGTTAAAGAGGGTTGAATTTCGGGGTCTACATGACCTGTCGAACCGACCAAAGCAGCCTCAAAACCTCAAACCTTAAGGCAAAACCCTAAACGCGCACCCTCAAGCACAGCACCCCAAACTTCCCAAGACCCCAAACTGAATTACAAAATGTATGACAACAGGCACTACTTGGAGGCTCATCGGACGTAGTAAGTAAGGTTTTAAGTACCTTACTTGGGGTTATAAGTAGTTATAAGTATAGTTACCCTAGTTATAACCCTAGTTACTAAGTCCCTTGATCCTTTAAGTACCGGTGCCTTAGACTTCTTAAACTATAGGGGCCTTGATAATCAGAATAGGGTTTTTTGGGGTATGTTATACTAGAATTACAATAAGGAACCCCCCAGAATAGTATAGGTAATTGTTAAGGCTCCTGTTTTTGGGTGCCCTGCCCTGTTCTGTTTCCTTGTTTCGGGGAAACGTCCTCGTGGCATTGGCGATCTCCTTGGCACTGGCCTTGCCATTGCTGCGTGCAGCCGCCGTGGCTTCCTTGGCTTGTTGCGTGGTGAGAAGTCATGACAAAAATAGCTATTCTTAATATGCTATAACTAGTATCATTTTTCAAAAGCCTAAGATTAAAGACAACAGAAAGAATTCTTAATTTCAAGAAATACATATATATATATATATACATATATATATATATGTATATCTATGCCTGCAGAAGGAAGAGAACGAGAGCCTCGGCCCAAAGCAGGCCCCGAACCCTCGGGAATCCGATTCTACGCCCGAGCACTTTTCCGGCACTGCGACGATGACTTCTGTTTGCAACTCCTTCCTCTATCTTGTCTTCCTTCTTCCACTCCTGTTGCTGCTACTAGTACTACTACTACTACTACCACCACCACTACCACCGCCATCTCTGGTGTTTCTTGCCCTGGCATCCCACCGCAGTTCACAGCGTGTTAGCGGCCTTCGCTGCAGCCACGCCACGGACGCAATCTGTGCCTTGCTGCCGTCATCCTTGACTTTGCGCTTGGCTTCAGCAGTGGCCACGGCCTGCAGCTATGGGCTCTCCCTGTTCTTGGGATCTAGGTTTCAGGCTGCAGGGTCTTTGGATTCGGGCTTAGGGTTGCGAGGTTCGTTCCTTGCGGAGTTTAGGGTTTTAAAACCGGTGTTGGGACCTTGTAGACGGCGGTCGCCGTGTCGGTCGCTTCCGCATATGCCTGGCAGAGCAGGGTTTCGGATCAGTCGGATTGAGGCCTTGGGGCAGAGATGTCCGAACATAGGGGACCCCAATACAGCACCCTAAATGGTAGGATCCTTATAAAAAGGACCCCAAAATAAGGTACCGCCTAATTTTCGGAAACTCCCAGATTGCAACGTGAAGAGAGAAAAACTCAGACAAGCATCGGCCTCATTCCCAAGACTGTTGCAAACTGGCCTTCATGGTCAGTCAGTTCACAGATTCGCCCGAATCGCCAAGGAGATATCCCTAGCCCCCTGCAACTGCGAATCTCAAAACACCAAATCCGAATCCTCAAGCCGAAAGCCGAAAACAACCCGCTTGAACGCTCTTTGAACCTACACCCTTGCACCTTACAAACCCTACAAACCCATTGGGCACACATCTGTCAAGAAACCCTTTCGGAGCCCTATCATCAACCCAAGCAACAGCGGAAACCGGAATGCGCACCTAAGGCAAATCAATATAAACTTGAAAAAGCAGCCGAGCCAAAAACCACTCCTTTTCCAGGTTCAGGCTGCGTGCACCCTTTGAAAGCCTGCAGAAACCCAGCAAAACCTCTCACGCCAAGCTAAAGAGAACTGAAGGGCCTCCGAAAACTCACAAACGACTTTCTGAGCCCTAAACCCCTAAACCCGAAACCCCCCAAAAAAACCCACCAAAAAGAAGCGCCCTCTCTTCCTTGCAGAACGCTCGGACCCCACCCCCCCCGAGCAGTAGTAGTAGAAGTAGTACCTGTAGTAGTAATAGTAGTAGCAGTAGTAGTAGTAGTAGTAGTAGTAGTAGTAGTAGTAGTAATAGTAGTAGTAGTAGTAGCAGTAGTAGTAGGAGTAGTAGTAGGAGTAGGAGTAGGAGTAGTAGTGGTGGTAGGTGTCGCCCCCCCCAAACGAAGGGTGTGCCGTGTAGGTGGCTTCTGCTGCCGCCGTGGCGTTGTAGCTGGCGTTGGCTTCGGCCTGGGCCTGAAAAACCCGCCGTCCCCCATTTTTAAAGGCGGTTAGGGTTTAAGGTGTAGAGTTTCGGCTTTAGCGTTGAAGGTTTAGGGTTTGGGGTGAGGGTGTAGGAGTTGAGGGTTGGTTGAAGAAGCGCCTTTTTGAGCCGTTCTCTTGAAGGGTTCGTTTCGTTGCAAGGAGAAAGTGCTCTGTGGGCTCCTTTTTGGGCTTTCAGAGTGCTGAAGTCTCGTTTGACCGAAACCGAATCTGCAAAGAACCACTCCCGCAAGCTCCTCGCGAGCTAGCTTTCGTCATTTCTAGGGTTCTGGCTCAAGTCTTTCGAACGTTCTCCTTTCTCGGGTTCAGGGATTATGTGCTGAAGGTTCAAGGCTAAAAGATCCGCAGCATTTCCGCAGATTCGGGAATACTTCCCCTGGAATCTTGAGAAACAGCCTCTACTCAGGCTAGGGGTTTCTTGAAACAGCTTGAGCATTTAGGCTGACATCGTCTTTATCATGGCTCAACCGCCGGAACTCTGCGATTTGCACGTTACGCTACTTTGTGTTTGACGGAACTTATGCAGCCCTGCCAGGGGCGTGGGAACTTCTTGCGAGGCGTCGGCGATAATTGCCGTACAGTATTTGGGCCCTGCTCGTGTCAAGGGAGAACGACAAACAATGGCAACCTGGTGCAAAGGATGGGATGCTGCGCGGTTCTTGGTTGTGCTGCTTCGAAACCAAATTCCGGTCGATTCAGCCGGCGCCTCCACAACAGCTTTACGCACCGTCTTGGCTGTTGCCGTCGCGTTGGCATCGGCCTCCGCAATCGACCAGCACAAAAAAGCAACATCCAGAATGGTGGCAGTTTAACAGGAGGTAAAAGAAGGGAAGGCACAAAGCCATAAGCCGACTTCTTCTGAAGTCTTCTACACGTCGCGCACAGATGCCCGGGTGGGCGTCTTGTCGCATCCAACTATGAAGCATCGGTCGACGCTCCCCGACTTTTTGAAGGGCGGGGCCTTCTGGGTCGCGTTGGCCAGGACCTGGCACCGCTGGGATTTTGGGAGGTATGGGGACAAGAAGATGACGAACACGATGCTGCTGCCAATGGCGCTGGTGCTGGAGATTCGTTGCTAGTGACACTTCAGCCGACATTGCAGTGTAATGCCCGCCCAGAATGACGACAACGACGCCGACCAGGGCTTGAGCAGGCCCAAGGTAATGCTCATGATGTGACTATGCCATGCTGGTGAATGCAATGATGGTGATTGTGCCGGGGCGGCGACGATGATGACGGTGGTGGTGGTGATCGTGCGGGTAGGATGATGATGAGGAGAAATGCATTGGTGATGATGGTGATGTGGTTGCCAGAGTTCATCATGATCCTCGTGGTCATACGATGGCGGTGACTACAACGATAACCTTCCTTCACAGGACTATCAATAGCATCATCATTCGTCACATCTGCGATACGCAGTCGGCTAGGCAGATGGAATCCTTAAGGAGATAGAACTCTACAGGTGGAAAGGCGCCAGAATCAGAAGCGACCCCTCCTTAGCAGCTTGGAAACCGTGCAACGTGGACATGACAAAAGTCAAAAGGACCGCAACAGCCATGCCTCCAAAGTCGTGTTGATCTTGGCTTCAATGATTCGCATGCTCTTGTCGTGGACGGTGAGGGCAGGAATGGTGACCTCCAGCGGTTGAGGACTGGCAGAATACGAAATCCTCAAGACCCAGATCAAAATTTGTCTGAAAAATGGCCACGCGCATACAAAAACTGCTCTGTGTAGCAAACCCGAAACCCAAAGTCTCCAAGCTAAGCCCCGCGACCCCGCCGGGACCCGACGAGAGCACGTAGCCGCTCACCAAAGCTTGTCGCCCAGCCTTCACGGTCACGCACATCTTCGGCTCTTGGCGGCCGAAAGGCTTCAATCCCTCCTTCTCCTGCAGGAAAGGGAGCTTTAGGAAGGCTTAGGATATGAAGACCTTCGGTTCTTCGAGACGCTTCACGACCACTTGATAATAATAACAATAACAACAATAATAATATTATAAATAATAACAATAGTCGTATTCATGATTATAATAAGGAACCCCGGCTTAGCCCAACATGCTCAGACTCAGACCAATGCCAATGCCAAACTGTGGGCGTAAAACACTCTTTCGTCTCAAACCCACCCGCACTGTAGGCCTGAATCTCGAAGCTTCAGTCAGGAGCCCTCCGAGAATTACGCAAAGTCACAGACCAACTTGCCTGAAAGCTCCTCGAACCGGCGCAAAGAGGAAGTTATGGGCCTCCTCCCGAAAACCCCTTGCAGCCCCGTACAGCCAAAGGAAGCACAACCAAAAGCCCTCAAAATCTTTACAGTGCCGTAGAGAACACTCCACATCCTACAGCCTGTGGAGCCCCATAAACAAGACCTATAAGCCCTCATACAACCCTATAAGCTTATAAGCCCCCTACAAACCCATCTAACAGTCTATGGAACCCCTATACTCAGAAATCCTAGAAACCGTAGCTTTTTTTGTACCTCCCTACTCAAAAAAGCACCAAAACCAAAACCTGCTTAAAGGAAAGCCCCCGAAGTACCGGCCTCCTCGGGATCTTCGGCGCCCTTCCGACCCCAGGCCTTCGGCGAAAAGTCGGTTCATGGGACCCTGAAAGGGTTTTTAGGGCTTTCAGGGTTTCAGGGTTTCAGGGTTTAAGGGTTTAGGGGTTTAGGGTTTAGGGTTTAGGGGTTTAGGGGTTTAGGGGTTGGGGTTTAGGGGTTTAGGCTTGGGGTTTTTAAGGCTCATCCGTAAACCCTAAACACCTGAATCCCCAAGTACAGAAACAACTAGTAGCCCGGAACCCTTGAAGGAAGCCCTTTAACCGCCCCGAAGATCCCTTTAAAGGCTCACCCTTTGAACACCTATGCCTATGCCCTAAAGCATATTAGTATAAACCTAAAACGCCTAATCCCTAAAGTCCTTGGCCCCCAATCCGTAAACTCTGCACACCTAAGATCCCTTTCAAGGACCCTTGAAGGACCCCTCTGAAGATTCCTTTGAAGGACCCCTCAAAGACCCCTTAAAAGGGACCTTTAACGGACCTCTCTAGAGATCCCTTTGCAAAAGAAGCCCCAACCACTCCCCCCGAAAGAACACCTTAAAGGACCCCTCTAAAGATCCTTTTAAAGAACCCCTTAAAGGGCCCCTTAAAGGATCCCTTAAAGGATCCTCTAAAGATCCCTTTTTTTTAAGGACCCCCATTCCCCCGCCCCCCCGCTCGGCCGTTTTTCGGGGCCTCGAAGACCTCGTCGTCCTCCCAAGGCTCGAGCTCTTTCTCCTCGGCGGCCGCCTCCTCCTGGCAGGGTTTCTTTTTTTTTTTTTGGGGGGGGGTCCTTTTAAAGGAGCTCTATAAGGGTACCTTTCCGGGTACTAGAGGGTTTGAAGGGTTCAGGGGTTTTACGGGTTTAGTCAGAGTCAACCTCCTCCCTGCACTTTGTTGCACTTCGGAAACGACTCAGAGCTTTGGGTTCAGGGGTTCAAGGGGTGAGGGGTCACTTGTTTCCCAGACCCCCGAGAGGATCTAGAAAGTAGATCCCCTAAGTTGGGGCCCTATACTACTAAGGGTACTTTATAAGAACCCCCATTAAGGGATCTACTTTTTGGATCCTCCCGGGTCGGGTCTGCGTTGGGGATTGAGGGGTTCGGGGGTTTAGAGATTTGGGGGTTCCGGGGTGCTGCGGAGTGAGTAAGAACCGCAGTGGAAATGACCGTAGCAATGATCATAAGAGCATATAGCAGCAACATTTGAGAGAATGATCAGGGTAATCGCAATAGAAATCGCAGCAATAATAGTAACCAAGATCATCAAAATCATAAATTATAGCAATAGCAATCGTAAGAATTGTGATGATAGCATCTTCCTGCTGACGGGTGGCGGCGTTTTGTGGCACTGCAAACGAAAAGGGTACGTTTGGGGTTTATGGCTGAGGCTGTTGGGTCTTTTTGGGCTTCTTGACGTTCAGGCTTCGGTTTCAGTCAGGCTTCCGGCTAAACCTTGGAGCTTGCCATGGAACAGCCAGGGTTTTGGGCTTGTTCTACGTCGGAGCTCGTTGTATGGACGACGAGCGAAGAATCTGCAGTGGTTTCATCACACACTGAGGTTGGCCATCGGATCATCGCACGTCTTCCGCCCTTCTACCCCTCTGCAGCTCCTCCATACGCTTAATGTCGCCCGTGCGGACGCAGTCCTTCAAGTGCCTGCTGCAGTTGATGTTATCAATAGCTCGACGCCATCCCCGTTTGCTCTTGCTCTTGCCGTTTCTCCCGCCTGGCACTGCCGGTCTTGCAGTCGTCCTCGGCCGTGCAGTACTCGCAGGTGGCGGGCGCTGTGGACGCCCAGCCTCGACCCCAAAGAATGCAGAGAACATGAGGAGTCCCTTTAGAGGAGTCCCCTGCTTGGGAGCAAACCCGGCCTTTGTACTTGCCCGATGACTCGTAAGTGTCAGTGACATTCAGCCTCGGTGCAAACAGGGAAAGCAGCGTACCAGGATTCTGGCCCTAATAATTAGAATTGGGTTTTGGGGTACAGTATACTATAACCATATTAAGGAACCATATACTATTGTATGGGTAACCATGTAAGCCCCCACAGGATTCTGAGAGAGCGCCCAAAGCTGAAGCCCAGGCGTCTTGCAGCTGAGGCCATCCTGGTGCAGAGCTCACAGGCCCCTTAATTAAGGAATATGGCTAGGGATCCTTTAAGGGATCCTTTAGGGGATGTAGATGGGTTAGGGTCTAGGGGATAATACCCCTTAATTAAGGAATATGGCTGAAATTATATAGGGATTAATACTATGATTTAAGCTCTATCCCTTGATTAAGGGGTATTGGGCTCTCTGATTCCGGCCCTTCTGTATGGTTCTTAGTAGGGAGTGGGGCTTTAGGGGGTTTTTTAAGGGGTCCGATAAGGGTTCTATACGGGTTCTGTGAGGATTCTGTAAAAGGGGTCTTAGGGCATCTGTAGCCCCGTAGGGTTCTTAGTACAGAATGGCGGGAATGGGTTGTGGGGTCTATCATTGGGGATTATCTATAGAGACTCCGTTCCCTACTAAGAACCAGACAGTCTTCGGCCCTAAGGAAGCCTGCTCCCAAAGCTCCCCGAAGGTTTTAGGCCGCGCTGATCCCACGCATGCTGAAAGGCCTTGCCCTCGCTGATTTAGGGATGCTTTCTCAAAAGAAGCTTTGGGTTTGAAAACCGCTCTTTCGCCTCACCTTGCCTTCACATGCTTCTGGATTCTATACCGCCTTTAGAACCCCAAACCCCAAAAACTACTCTGCAATTTGGGCTAAGCCTAAACCTCCAGAGCCGTAAACAAGGATATCTGCCCCGAAATCGGAAAGGAGGACCTAAAGCCCCTAACCCTCAACCCCTAAACCCCAAAGAAAGGCCTGACAGACCCGGTTCTGCTGCTGCCGGGGGTAGAAGCCACATTCGAATCCCCACGGCTTCTGCGGAACGCACTCCTCGCGAGAAGGTACCAAGGGAAGGCAAGGGGTAGGTTGGGGTTTAGGGTTTAGGGGTTTAGGGTTTAGGGTTTGGGAGTTTAGGGGTTTAGGGGTGTTGGGTTTAGGGCTTTGGGTTGGGGAGTTACAGCTTCGGGGCTTTGGACCCTAAAGTTGAAGGTTTTGGGGGGTTGCGGGCCCTAAGCCTTAAACCGCCCTAAGACCTAGCATGATGCATTATCATTACTGCGATTATGATTATGTTTGTGATGAACACTGTTATCTTTATTCACATCCGTATTTTGTTTCTAGTGAACTTCAGGGCACTGGGTTTAGGAGCTTTGGTTTGGGCTTTAGGCTGTAGTGCATTAGTTAGAACAAGGACTACGGATTCATACTGACATTTCCTACAATTCACCTGAAGGCCATGCGGATCAGAGTCTTCCAACTTTCTGACTTCCACTTTAGGGCTTTGTAAGCCATATCGAGCTTCTCCAACCTCATTGTGGGTAGACATCCAAGCTACGATCCCTCTTGGAACCCGGAGTGTGTCGCTCTTCAACATAGGGCCTGTAAGAGCGGTCCTCAAACATGATACATGATGCTTTCAAGACCACGGTTGTGGGCATGTCCTTGCGGTGTTTGGACTCGTGTGTGGTGTTCAAGGTAGACTTGGGGCTTTCTGAAAACTTGAGTTCCTTACTTAGCGAAACTTGTGAATGGACCATTTCAAGTCTAAATGTCACTTCTATTCTGAAACTCCCGGACTTTGGGGGGGACGGCTGAGCCCCCGGATGTCATGACTGCTGCCGCCGTCGTTGTTGCTGTGGCTCGTTATGACCCATCCTTAAGTGTGACTGCTTCCCTCTCCTTGGTGGTCCAATGCAGGAAGAAGCCTTGCTGGCACATGCACTCACCACGGCTGTAGCTGGTCGGAGCCACGGTGGTCCTTGGCCGGAGAAAAGGACATGGGAAGTCTATCCCGGTGCATGAAGGAATATAGCTTCAACTACAGAGGGATCCTGATGATGATTTACGATGTAATGTGTGGGTTTTGAGGGCTCTTTGCGTGTGTTTTTTTGTTATGTGGGGCCCTGGCTAGAGTGCAGGGAACAAAAGCGAAGAACAACTCGTAACACCTGTAGAAAAACGACCCAAGCCCACCTACAGCGGCATCAGAAATCGACGAGCCTGATACTGGGATCGTGATGACCCTTCAATGGGAGGATCCTTCTTTAAGGGGAGGATCCTTCTTCTTCTTGTTCTTATAAATCACCCCGAACAGGGAGACCCCCCTACTCCAAACCGGCAGATCGAGCCGAGCATCGTCACCAGTGACACTGAGTAGGTACTTGGGAGCACCATATTGGTATGCACTTTCTCCTCGGCAATTTCCCACAAGGAGGGTCACGTATGGCTTCAGGTTTAGGTTTGACATTTGCAGCTTCTGCAAACAACTAGCTCGTGGGAAACCCGATCACTCGGCTTGTGCACGCTGCGCCAGTTCTCAAACCGAACCCCAGCCGGGTGGCAATATTGATGTCAATGCCATCCACCTTTGCACTGTCCACATGGGATTTGCAGAATGTACGAGACCCTACCAATGTTTGACAAACACCACTGCCTGCACTTGAGATTACTGGTGCATAAGATGCGAAACTCTACCACTGTGTTTTTTGTTTTCGACGGTCACGATTATCATGACTGCTCTTGCTGCTGTTCCTGCTGTTGCCTCTCTTTGCCGCTAGTCGTCATATACTGGTTGCTGCTGATTGAATACTCAAGCATCGTAACATGTGGCCTCGTTGTCATGCCGCAGCTTCTGCAGCGACAGGTCTACGATCTCCGCCATTGGTTCGTTCGGGCTCCTGCACGTAAGGCTTTGGCTGAGCCTTGCAGCTTACTTGGAGTTAAAGGGACCAGATTCGTGCACGTACGAGCGTACGAGTTTCGGCCGCGAAATTCTGACGAACATCGCGTTGGCATGCTGACCACAGCCGTTCTTCCACCAGACTGTTGCTGCCCAGATTTAGTTAGCCCCTCTTTGCGGTGCAAGCTCCAGAATCTCAACGCCTCGGGTGCTCTAGCAGGCAAGATAACATCGCGTGCGCAGTGGTACCCTCGCTGGGGCACCGTTACTTGCTAGGATGGCGCAAGCTACTGAAACGTGTAAACTTGGCGTGAAGCCGGCGAAACAGGAGCCGACCCTTCAGCAGTGACTGCATTTGACAGCTTCACATATACCGAGCAGGAGGAGACCGCTCGGGAACTTTAGAAACGCAAGTGCCATGTGTGGCAGTGCTCAGACCCGAAGCCCCTGCAACGTCCTGAAGCCTACTAAACATCAACCCCTAAACTGAAAAGAAGTGCATCTCCTGCTATCGTGGGCTTCATGCGCACCGCTCTGATCCGTCCTGTAGTCATGAGCGCTGATGAGCGGCTCCTAACCGCCAAACTCCCACACCCTGACCGAACCCTCGAGCTCGAAACCCCGATCGCATCCCCGACCCTGAACCCGAGACCCCTGAATCCCTGAACGCTGAGCATTGAACCTTGAATTGCGGGTTGAGGGCTGAGTTTCTCGGAAATGTGTCAACACATGGAGTCTCCCAGCTCATGACATCACAGTGCATGTGAGAGGCGCACAGGTCAAGCGCAGTCGGACACACAGAAAAATCTGACGGACAGAGAGACACACACACACACTGTCACAGACATGCACACAGATGCGTGTGTCATTATGCATGTATATATATATATATATATATATATATATGTGTGTGTGTGTGTGTGTGTGTGTGTGTGTATGCATATACCTATGCATATACATGTACACATACATGTGCACATACATGTACATACACATATACATACACATATACATGTATATACACGCATGTACATATGCATATATAAGTATGACACCCTCGAGCCCTTAACCCCTAAATTGGTTGCAAGTGCGACCTGGCTTCAAGGTTCCCAAAGGTTGACAGGCTTAGCTTTTCAGATGCCCCGGAAGCATTGGCTCGCAGGTTTGTTAACTAATATGGGGGACTTTATTCTCAAACTGATTCACTAGGGTGTGGGGGCAGAGAGGGACATCTCATCGCTACGTATTCCGGCCTCTGTGTTAGATCCTAATACAAGAGCCTTAATAATTAGAATACGGTTTTGGTGCTCATGATGCTATAACTATGACAAGGTGTTTCGGCCCCTATATCAGACCGTCCTCTCATCGACTTCGCCAGTCTGGTCAGAGTCCATAGCAGTAGCCTATCCGGAAGACCACAAACGGTGAATTAAATCGCTAGACGGTGTTGCGACAACACTGTTGGGGTACGTGCCGTGACATTGAGGTTGCTGCAGAGCGGCGTTGACGGTGGTAGGTGGTGTCGATGAGACAGAGTGTGTATTCCAAGTGTTCGGGATTGGTTGCGCTTCAACACCGAAGGACATCCATTGAAGGCTTATCATGATTAGCATGGTTACTTGTTCTTGGTCGCAATCAATAAGTTGCTGGCACGCTTCTGTTGATTGCCCTACTTGGCCCTACTTATACTTACGATCTTGATGAGCTCTGCTAATATCTGGCAGAATATCATGGCATCGCTCTGTGGGTCGTTCTGAGGAGGGACCGAATGCTTTAAAGGTTTTGAGCTTGGGGTTTTGGACTTAGCATATGATGCAAGGTCTTAAGAGTTTTCAATACGGTTTTGGCATTCTTATATACTAGACTTGTAATGAGGAACCCTGTCTAATCTTAAGGAAACATCGTACTAGTTACTAGTTGTTTAGGCTTCTGTAGCAGGGTGGTTGTCCTAGCTGGGTTTGGATCGATCTTCGGGCATCTGAGGATTCACGGCCGTTCTGCTTACCGTTGGTTAGTAGGGAATGGAAGAATGGTACTGCTGATGGACAAAATCCTGCATGACCCTAAGGACTCTATACTATGGGAACTATGGTAGATTCCTTATAATGGGTAATGCAGGATTTTGTCCATCAGCCGTAGTAATCGTAGCTATAATTGTACCCCATTCCTCCATTCCCTAGTAACCCAAGGTAAGTCTGGGGTCGCTTCGTTGTAAGTGTTGCTGCTTGGCTTGGGGGTTTCCGAAAACAGGGGACCCTAGTATAGTACTCTAAATAGCAGGATCCTTAATAGCAGGACTCCAAAATAAGGTGCCCCTAATTTCCGGAAACTCCCACTTCCTGTCTCGTGGAAGCTCGCGATTCCGGCCGCTCAGGCTTAGGGACTGTCGATTCGCTCCGGCTAACGCAGGGCACCGGCAGCAACAGGGGGTCAGATTCGCGTCGGACAATACGTTGTGCATGATATACTCTGAAGGATATCAGCTGTGATTCATGATACATGATAATTCCTGTATAAATGACATTAGACACTCTACGTCATATATATATATATATATACACACACACACAATACTTATATACTAAAAAAATATGTGTATATCTATACATATATATATATATATATGATTTACGGTCTATTGTCCCTACCCCTGAGTCCACCTGCAGCACCTTGACTCGGGGCTGCCTGGCCTGGTGCTTTTTGAGGCTCCACGGCTTTGCCCGGGATGGAGATTTAGGTCTAAGTGTTTTAGGGTTAAGGATTCCAGAGCTCGGGGTCTTAGGGATCTTAGGGGTTAAGGGTTTCAGGGTTCGGGGTTTGGGGTCTAGATTTCCGGTTGGAGGCTAGATTGCGTTTACGGGTTTGCTTCGGACCTGGCAAGTAGATTGCAAGCGGGGTCATACTTCGGATAAACAGCCCCGAGTAGGCAGCGTACGGGTACACTTAATCCCTACTTCAACCTCCGGCCTAAGTCCTGCGATCCTGCAAGTGTTCCGAGCTTGGAAGGTCTGGGCACCGCAGGGCTGGTCGGCAGAGCATCCATCCGCTGTTGACTTTGGATTCGTCTCTCTGGTGAGGGTAGGCCTTCCGGTGCGTAGCCGCTCTTTGGTCAGAATCACGATGATGACGCAAGTGTGATCATCGAGGGAGGCATACCCAACAATGCATCTGCTCCCGGTGGATTCGAAGAACGATGCAGTTGGCTTGAGGAAGCATGGCTCACACGGAGACTGCTGACGGAAACATGGTAGTAAAGGGGCCGTAATGACTGGAAACGGGTTATGGGGCATACTACGTATAGTCTATAGTATACCTACAAGAAGGAATTAGTGTGGCTATGTGTTTCGTTTTTCCAAATTCAAAAGTCGAGGGAGTCACTTTGGCCGGGATTTTAGCTGAAGCGATGCTTCGAGGTCTTCTGAAGCTTGGGATCCCTGGCCTGCGGTTTTCTGGTATCAGAGGACTTGGAAGGCCAAGGAATAAATTAGCAAACGCACACTAATACGACCTACCACAGTAGCATCCCCTAACATTCCACGTAGGGCTTCTCTGAGCTGCGTGGCTTCTGGGCACGCCCCAAGGAGCTCGGAGCAGTTTCTGTCCTCAGGGCCGGGCGAGAAATCGGTGATGCTGATGTGCTCCACATGGCGCCGCGATGGCCTCAGCTCCACTATTATCATTATTTTTACTAGTATTGTTATTATTACTATTATTATTATTCATAATATTAGTAAACTGTTGTTTAACATGACTCACGAGCCTCCGGCCCTAAGCCAAAAGCTAAAGCCCTCAGACTCAAGCTTCACGAGGAGCAGCCCTCGAAACTCCACTCAAGACACTCTAAACCCTTATAGAGCCCTCTAAAGGAATCCTTATAGTACCCTTGTAGTAACCCAATAAGGTACCCCCTGAGTTTCGGAAACTCAAGACGCCACCAAGCTCCCCGGCCAGGAGAACAAGGAAACGCGGAACCATGGCCAGCCGGCCTCGAGGGCACTTAGAGGATCATGGGACTTAGTAACTAAAAGTATAAGTAGGGTAACTATACTTATTGTGATTTGTCACTGACATGCGTATATGTGCTTCTGCCTTCTGGTTGGGAATCAGACCAACTTTGTCTCACTACGCAGCTTGACTGCTCAAGGATCGCATGCGCGAGTCCCAGCAAAAGATCCGCTAGAGCCTGGGGGTTCTGGTGTTGTCTTTCCGCTGAGCGTCAATCTTACGGTTTTAATCTCTGATTGTCCTGCTTTGCACCGCTTGCTTTGCTTTGATCTGCGATCGGCTGCCTTGGGCTTTGTGACCGAGAGTTGAGTGGAATCCTCCGCTTTTCACAGGTTATCAGCCGTAAGGGCTTCCGCATCCGATTGTGGATTGCTGCTTCGCTGCTGCTGCTCGGCACTCGGACCGCCTGATCCAATCAGTGTCTGATCACTACCGTTTTCCTGGCTCAGACCAAGTTCGGAACTTGTGATTGGCCACGCCACCGAGAGAATGGCGACTCCGATCGGTTCTCCCCGTGTCCCCTCGACTGTCGGTTCCTCACTAGTGACGCCAGTTGCTCGGGATGTCGTGGAGCCCGATGATAGTGCCCACGCATCTCGCTGCACTGCACCCGCCTCGCACGCTTCGCTCGCTCGCTCTGCTTCGCTGCTTGCTTCGCCGCCTGCTGAGGACGATCAGAGAGCTCAGCACCATGCGCCGCTTTTGCCATGCTCTGCTGCCGCTTTCGCAACGCCTGGCACGATGCACGCCGGCATGCTGCCTGCTCCTGCCACCGCTCGTGCTTTGCCTTTGTTGCCTGCCTTTTCTGCGTCCGCTGCTCCTGCTGCTTCCGCACCTGCCCTTCTTCCGACCGATTCTTTGTCTTGTCCTCTGTCCCTTCGCGGGGATCCAGAGGGCTCTCGGGCCCTCTTTGGGTCCGGGCCGGACGGCCGTGGTCCACCGATTTCGGACCCGGCGTCCTTTCGTCCACCGCGCCCCGATTCATATGGGCCGGTGGCAGGCCGCGGTGGAGCCTCGCTCCCCGACGAGCCCATGAGCGAGCACCCGGGTGCACCCCATGTTTCCGTCGCAACGATTACCGCGGCGGATCATGGTGGTGCTGCCCCCGCCACCGATAACGGCGGGAGGCTTCCCGGTCCCTGCGCTGTCAGGGCCCTGGTCGATGAAGCCATTGGGTCGGAAGCATCCGCGCGTATCGCCACCGATATTCTGGCGATCGCGCAGGGTGTGTCCAACACCCAAGCCGACCTCGATATTCTGAGGAACGGCGTCTCGGACATTGCTGAAGCACTTGAAGACAAGATCCGAGAAATGTGGGAGCTTCTACAGGCCGAGATGAGGAAGGAGCGTGAACTACACACGATCTTTCAGGACTCCGTCCGCGAAAGGCGGATTTCGGACCATGAAACTCTTGAAGAGCATTTTGCGAGGCTCAACTCGATGGTCAACGATCGATTCATTGAGTTTGATGAGCGGATCCACCGATTCAACGAAAAGCGTGCTGGATCGATATCCATGCAGCTTGCTGAGACGATCCGCCACATCAAGCATTACCCTGATGCGCTGCAGCAAATTCAGATCAATATCTCAAATGCTGAGGCGCGCATCGCTACGGTTGAGCAGAATGCTACTCACCGTATCGAGGTCATTAGAACCGAAATGAGCCGTGCTCTCTACGATCATAAGGAGAGTAACCGTGTTCTCATCGATCAGCTCACTGCTCGCATTCAGCATCTTGAGAGTTCTCATGTCCGCAGGGGTGGTTCTGACATGTCGACACCTTCGCGTCCGGAACGGACGCAGTTCTTCGACATCAGTGACCATGATGGGGATATCCCACGTCCCGCGGACTTGCCGCCAGTTCCTGGTGCTCTATTCCCTGGCGGACCGACTACAGCCATTCCGAGATCTTCTTTGTTGGGTCCGATTGATCATGGCTCTCCGCCGGGATGCAATGCTGCGCCTGCTGAAAAGGCCTCAACGGTGCACTCTCAGACGAGTGGCATCAATCTTGATGACATTCTGAGGCGCGCGCAGCAACGAGTCGCTGATGATCATCCTCCTGAAAGTCGCGGGCAAAATAATCCTGTTGAGCCCGTCCGACAAAATTATGGCCAAACGTCTGCCTCTTTTTCAGGAAGATCTCCGATTCCGACCGTTCCGTCCACAAATGCCGCCGGAACGACATCCGGCCAAGCTCCGAGTGTCAGACCCTTCCCTGTCGATGACGATCTGGCCATTCGCAGTGGCGTCCGCTATGACCCTGAAGCCCAGAGATTTGCTCCAGAGCCCAAGCGGAGCCCTACATTTCCATGCCAGATCTCGTATGATACGCGAACTGTTCCGGCAGGAAAGGGACCTTCAAGATGGTATGATGCAATGCTTGGCCGATCCAATCTCATTGGCAGCGGTTCTGGTGCACCTGTTCTCCAAAGCGAGACTGGCACCTTCACGCTAGCACCGAGCGCAAGCGTCACTGGAACATTTCGACCTGCTGCCACTGATGATGTCGATGGATGGACTATGCCTCCGATGCCCACCTTTAATGCTAGAACATCCGCCCCTGCACCCAGTGCTGCGCCATCCGGATTAGGCGGACCGCCGCCCGCGCATGGCGGTGACGGTGGTTCTTTCGGTGGTAGTGGCCCCAACGATAACGGGGGTGCATACGGTGGTGGTGTTGGTGGACATGGACACCATGGGTCCGGCTTCGGCCCTGGTGGCGGTGGTGGACCACCCAGTGGCCCGCCCAGTGGCCCGCCCGGTGGTGGTGGCCCTCCTGACGGGAATGGCCCGCCTGATGGTGGACTTGATCCGCCTAGCATCAGGCCCTCCGGCCGGCCGAGTGGGAATGATACTTTCCAGTGCGAGCGCTGCACCGGAACTTTCCCAACCACCGTGCGGCGATCGTGCATATCTTGCCGATTCTCGTGTTGCAATGGATGTTGCCGAGATCCTTTGAGAATCTGTCTCGTGTGTCTTGAGAGACAGACTGGGAATCCGCCCGGTCCCAACGATACGGGATTCGGTGGACCCAAGGGCGATGGATCGCTGAGCGAGGCTAAGAAGGCGAAATGCAAGTCCTTCCGACTCGATCCCGAGCCGGAGCCCGCTCAGCTGCGGCGCTGGATCGTCGACATGAAGGAGCGAGTTGCAAATGCATTCGCATACGATCCCGGATACGCACTCTCGTGGGTTGAGATTCCCGATGGTACACGATATGAAGACCTTCTTGATGAGTGCAAGTACGGAATGCTTGAGAATGAATGCAACTCTGCATTCCGCGAGTGCGTCAAATCCATTGTTTAAAGAATAAGATCCAGACCGAAACCGAGCGCATGCATACGATAAATCGGCGACTCGGCAGTAGGCAGATCTTGTGGTTGTTGTATGATTTCCTTCGACCACATGTCACTGGCGATTCGACCTTCAAGCTCGTCGATCTGATGAAGACCACGATTGATCGGTTTACTCATGGATCCGAGCAGGAGAGGCTAGAAGCCTTCTCCAATCGGTGGGATCATGTTCTCGCTGGTATCTCAGTCGATCGTCCCGAGGATCCTGTTCTCTGCGCACTCTTCTATGAGCAGGTACGTGAGTTCCGCTGTCTCGAGCTCGATATGCAGTTGTGGGACAGGGACGTGTCTGTCCGGAACTACGCATATTTGCGGACTGTCTGCGTCAATGCGATTACAACTTGGCGCCGGCGTCGCAACCAGGAGAAGATGTACACCGCTACTCGATCCACCTCTGCGCAAAGACGGTATGCTGCACCTGCACATGGTAGCCCACTCAGATCCTTCTCAAGAAGCAAGAGGGGATCTAGATCTCCTGGACACCGAGACTCAAGAAGAGGGAGTCCCTACCGAAGGAGCTCGCCGAGGCGCTCGTCGCCCAGACGATCCTCCCCGAGGCGCGGTTCGCCGAGGCGATACTCGCCGCGCAGTCCGGGAAGGGCCGCTCCTGCTCAGCCTAACAAGCCACCACACACATCCGACGCGCCCTGCATCACGATCTCCACGAGGGCGGGAAATCTGCTACGATTTCAAGAACGGCAGATGTACGCGAGGAAGCGGTTGTAAGTTCTCTCACAACCTCAAGGGCAGAAGCTCCTCGCCGAAAGGATTCCCGCCTCGATCCCAGTCACCGATATCAAAGGAGTCTGGCATATGCTTCTACTGTGCCCGCGGAACTTGCACAAGAGGTGATAAGTGTCCGTATAAGCATGTGAAGCCTGGTGCTCCTGCTGAGAGCACTTCTGTTGCCGCTCCTGCGCCTGCTGAGCCCGCGCCGACATCAAGGCGGGTTGACAGCCCGGCGCCAACGCCCTCGGATTTTTGAGAGGGGCGTGCCGCAACCCTCAGGCAATGACAGCATCCTCCTTTGGAGACTTTGCGTTCGCTTGTGCAGCATCATTCGATATGGCATGTCCGTCAGTCAAGCGGAAGACAGTGTCGTTTGGGAACACTGAGACCCGCGTGATAGAGTCTTCTTTCCCGGAGCCGGCCTTCGGCCCCGTCAATCGCGAGAGGAATTTGAGCTATTCGTGGCCGGAAAATATCCGTGGTCTGAATAGTGCTCGCGAGAGGCGAAGAGCCCATATGAAGGCTGTGCTGTGGCGAGAGCAGGTTTTGCTCGATGACATTGATGTCAAAACGTTAGGAAATGATGCTTGTGTTCTTGAGCTCACGCTTTCTCAGCGGAGCGCTTGCGAAGTCTTTGCTGCTGCTGTCAAGTCTATTAAGAGGGTACGGAGACTCATGCTTGACTCCGGTTGCGGTATAGACCTTATTGGTCTCGGTGATTTATCCCGTGAGGAAAGGGATCTGATCGTCCAGAATGCAAAGATCAGTCTTCGGACAGCCAACGGGAAGACCAATACCAAGGGTGTTGCGCATATGCGCATCGATGGTCTCGATGAACTGATTGAAGCTTATGTGTTGGAAAGCACGCCAAGTCTCCTTTCCCTTGGGAAACGATGTAAGGAGCTTGGTTATCGATTCATTTGGGAGCCCTTTTGCGATCCGATATTCTTTGATCCGAAAGGGAAACGCCTCAAGGTCGACGTGATCAATAATATTCCCTACCTTGCTCCAAGTGAGACAGAGGTAGTGGCCGGCCGACCTGATCTCCCTCGTGTGTATCCGGCCCTCCCAGCACCGATTATCGTCCACGAAAAGGTCGTTGCAGCTGGTGGGGAGCCTGGCAGCGAATTAGACGCTGTCGGAGAACTTGATCTCGATATGCCCAATGCCAAGAGCGTTCAGAAGAGTGCACCTGACGATAACAAGAAGGTGCCCGACAAGGGTAAGCCTCAGTCGCCGCCTGATGAACCTAGGGCGCGCGATCTGAGAGATGAGGCAAAGTCAATCCGTCATCTCATGACCCATCTCCCAAAGAACCCCTATTGCGATGCCTGCCAACGTGCAAAGATGGAAAATGTTAAATCCTTTCGTCAAGACTCACCGCGCGATAAAGGGTTTGAGAAGTTTGGCGAACACGTTACCATCGATACAATGGTGTTGCATGGGCTCGGCAATCGCGGGAATAATGGGGAGACGGATGCTGTCGTCTTTTACGATCTAGCAACCGAGTGGCTGGAGAGCGTTCCCGTTAAGGGAAGAACGAATGCCGATACGCTCCGAGCATTTCAGCAGGTCTTTGGCGATCTTCGAGATGTGAACTCGTGCTCCATGGAGAGGAGGTATGCACCTTCTGCGATTCGGGAAATCTACTGTGATAAAGCCCGTGAGTTCATATCGACCTGCAAGAAAGTCGGCATATCTGTGAAGCACTCCACCCCGGGAATGCCTCGAACTAATGCCATTGCCGAGAGCAAGGTGAAGCTTGTCCTTCATGGCGCACGTGTGGCGCTACGACAAGCGGGATTGAGCGCCAAATTCTGGCCTTATGCATGCAAGCACTTCTGCCATGCTCGCAACATCGAGTTGCGCGAGGGTCAGAGTGCCTATGCGATGCGATTTGATGGTGTTGAGTTTGACGGTCAGATTCTATGCCAGTCCGGGGCTAACCGGGTCCTTTCCGTTATGGAACCGGGTCCTAGGATTTATGTTGCTGACATGAGTGACATGTAAGAACACGTGTATATAGGACATGTGTTGCTGACATGATGGACATGTAAGAACACGTGTATATAGGACACGTGTTGCTGACATGATGGACATGCAAGAACACGTGTGATGGACATGTAAGAACACGTGTATATAGGACACTTGTTGCTGACATGATGGACATGTCAGAACACGTGTATATAGGACACGTAAAGCAACATGTCTGATGTCGTGCTGAAGGGGGGGGGGCAGGACGGAAAACAAATGCAACTACTGCAGCAACATTGGGCCTACGTCATGTGTGTTCTTGTGGCTCTATGGAAAGAGCGAGATGCTGGACATGTATAAAAAGATGTGTGCTTGTGGCTCAATAGAAAAATCAATGCCTGAAAAACTTGGTTTGTTCGAAATGTGAAAACATGTACATCGAAAAATCAAAGCCATACTGACATAATTGCCTGTCCCAAGTTTTGTAGTTCACATGGAATTTCTTTGTTGCAAGATATTTTTGAAGTTATTTTGAAGATTCGTTTGTGCCGAGCAAACCAAACAAATGCAACTTGGTGTTCTTGTGGCTCAACGAAAACAAGAAGCTTGAGATTTTGTGTTCTGAAACCCTAAAGTCAGCTTTTTGTACGATTCACAACGACTTGAAAATTAGTGTGTGTGTGTTCATGATTAAACATGAAGGGAATCTAAGCTTTCGTAACGTCCAGCTCATGCCCTAAACCCTGGACCCTAAACTGTAATCCCACCCAACCCCCAAACCCGCCCACCCACTCCTGCAGGTAGGTATAGATAAGTAGATAGGCAGGAGGGAGGTACTTGTAGGTCTAGGTGCACCGGCAGGCTTCCAGGTCTCTAGATAGCTAGGTAGGCGGGCATGTAGGTAAGGAGGCATTGATCAGGAAAGAAGTTTAAAGGTAGCAGGCAAAAGTAGTTGTAATTAGGCATTCGCGCAGGCTCTGTCAGGATGTCAGGTCGCCACATCAGAGGTCTTCGGAGCCCCGTGCAGGGGCGTACCCGCACCAAGCCCTTGAAGGGGCTGCGGGATGAACCCCGAATAGGGGTGAGCTTGGACCCCGAACAGGGGTCGTCGGAGCCCCGTACAGGGGTGTGGATGAACCCCGAAAAGGGGTGAGCCTGGACCCCGAACAGGGGTCGTGAGAACCCCGTGCAGGGGTGTGGATGAACCCCGAACAGGGGTGAGCTTGGACCCCGAACAGGGGTCGTTAGAGCCCCGCACAGGGGCGTCCGATGAACCCCGAAAAGGGTGAGCCTGGACCCTGAACAGGGGTCGTGAGAACCCCATGCAGGGGTGTGGATGAACCCCGAACAGGGGTGAGGATGAACCCCGAGCAGGGGTGAGCCGGATCCTCAAAGACAGATGCAGAGAGAAAGAAAGAGAGAGAGAGAGAGAGAGACAGCGAAAATAATTAACGAAGCAAGGAAGGAAGCAAGGAAGGAAGGAAGGAAGCAGGGAAGGAAGCAGGGAAGGAAGAAGGAATGATCAAGATGAGGGTGTGACTGTAGATGCGAGGAATGAGCAGGCAGCAAGGAGTGATGTGAGGGAAGGAAGAGGCAGGAAAGTCATGCATGGATTCAGTATCTCTCTGCTCACTTTCCGTCTGTCGCCGGCCAACCAGGCTGAGACAGTCTGCGCATCGAGATCCTCGAAGAGCCCCGGCCTAAGCCACACCAAGACTTGACTGCTGCACCGTCGGTTGCTTCCAAGCTCAACATGTTGGACTGCAGCAGCTTTTCATCTCAAGATTCAAGGAAATCGCACCGTTTTTTTCTTGGCGCCACTAGCGCCATGACTGAGCAAGTGTACACCGACGCGGAATGGGCGGCTTGGCGTCGAAGTCAAAACCCTGCAGGAAGCCACCAAAACCCTGCAGGAAGCCACGACGACACAGAGACGGACCCAACGAAGCAAGGCTTCACAAAGGAACTCCGACCCCTTCCGGATGAATGGAAAGTTGAGTGGAAGAAAGCTGAGAAGAACAAGCAGCACTCAGCCAATGACTTCAGCGGTATCAGGCGCCTCTGCAACAGAAGGTTGCAACAGATGTACAACCAATGGAAGAATGAGGTGGAGAACACGGAGAAGCAGGATTCGGCTATCAACAAGCTCGCCATCTTGACGCATAACAAGGACCGCATGGAAATCGATCGCTTGAGGGAGGTTGAGAAGGAAGCGATTTGGACGAAGAAAATGTACGAGGCGAAGATTGCGGACGACAATAAGAAGCACGAGGCCGAACTGGCAGCTGTAAAGAAGAAAGGCGAGGACATGCTGGACGAACTGGAGAACACGCATGAGAGAAACAACCAGGAAAGGGCTAAGAGGCTGTCCATCACGGAAGATACGTACAGGTACAAGTTCGAGGATAGCCAGAAGGAGATGAAGGTACTGACTGCCATGTATGAGAACAAAATCAAAGAGATGAACGCCGAGCACCAGGCACAGATGGCGAAAGAGAAAGAAGAGAACAAGAAAAAGTTCGACGAGAAGGTTTCCAAAGCCCAGACGGACATGACAAACAAGTTCAAGAGCAGGTTGAAGAGGCTCGAGGATGCACAGGTGAAGTACAAAGAGAAAGTCCTCACTGCAACGGGGCTTTGGAGACAGACACTGGCAAGGAAAGAGGATGAGGTCCTGCGGCTCCGGCTACGACTCCGCTTGCAGGAACCCGCGAGCTCGGCGCAGCAAGACAACGAAGAGAAGCTCAAGGACAGTAAGGCTTGGCCCGACAGTTCATTTGTCAGTTGTTCAGTCAGTGAAATGCGCATCTCTGACAGGAGAGTTTGCATCCCACGTCCCCGACGGTCGTTTTCACCCCGACCTCTCCCGCACGCAGCCCGAGCCTTGGTTTCATCACCGCAACCTTGTGCGACCCCA